CGTAATTTGTGGCTTATTAATAAACCTCAAAAAAATTTTCTGATAAACACGTTGGAAAGCAAACCACAGTTTGGTTTGATTTTGGGACGAGCATTTATGGCCTTGGCACCATTTTTTAGAATCGATACTTGACCAAACCGTCGATGATGATGTTACAAACAAAACCATTGTGAATGTCTAAAAAGAGAAAAAATCTATCAATGCATACACAACTCTAAAGCGTCAGAAGAGTGGCTAAGTTGCGTGTTGCGCAACTACAGACTAAAAAATATGGAGCTCTACGGAATCAGGTCAAAGGTTTTTGACACATATAGCCTCGCTGAACACGTTTAATCAACCCTGAAACAACCGTATCAATAGGTCTTTACTACTTTGTCTCCATGATGGCTTGTTTACCTCAGGTTTTGCTGTCTATTTGCTGCTATCTTCTAGCAGTTGTCGTCTGTCAGCCGCAGCAAAAACAACCTGTTGCTGGCACTCATTGTGCACCAAATCAGGTTGGTGAATATCTGCAGTTAAAAACAAGTGTTTGGATATGTCTTGATGAATTGATCGCTTTTTTCGCTTACTTCATTAATATTTAAAAAGAAACTTATGAAAATACAGCCGGTAAAATAAAATTTTGATGTAAATTTGGTTGCTTTGGTAATATGTGGACAAATTTACTCAGTTTTTGTCCATCTTTCGATTTAATCAATTTTTATTTATTTATTTGCTTGTTATTTATTTGTTTCTTTATTTATTTATTCATTTATTCATCCATTCACCCGCCCCCACTTGTTTGTTTATTTACTTTTTTGGGGAGTGGAGGGAAAGAGAACGGAAAAGAGGGGCTAATTTACAGTTTACATGTTGAAGTTTTCTTTGAAAATATTTATTTCAACTAATTATTGTTTTCTTTTCAAACAATTTAAAATTTGTAAGGAGTTTTAGTCAAACACGGCTTGTTTTTGAGAAGAACTGTATTACGCTTTCGAATTTAAAATTAATTAGCTTTATCTGTAAAGTCATTTGTTGTTGTACTGATACATTGGCAGGATAAATTAACTCAATCAATCTGAAATATGGCTTTTATTAGTTCTTAACTCCAATTTTTTTCGATAGAAAATCTTTTTTTTTTCCGAAGAAGAAGAAAAGTATGAAAATAAACGCTAAACACAGCAATTCCAATTGCTTTCCGGAAATAACTGCATCGCAATTTTCGTATGCAGTTTAATCTGAGAAAAGGATTTGTCACTTAATTTTGGACTTTCCTCTTTCACGAGTATGCTGTCTGTTATAACAGTCTTTCAGCATACGAAAATTTTTTGAACTCAACTGAGCGTTCATGATTTTTTATTATTCCATTACTGATGCCTCTTTTTCCGGTGACTATTTCTTTTTGGTTGAAAGTCAAAAAAGTTAGTTCTTTTAAAGAAGAAATTAATAATCAAATTTGCTTTGCTGTTTCTGCAAGTTCTGTGAGAAGCACGAAAAATTGATTCACTACATATCAAATATTAGAAGGTAAAATCTCGTTTTAGTGACGATTATCAATATTGTTTTTCAAAATTATTTGTACAGTTCTAGAGGAAAAATTTGCTTTATTTGAGCCAGAAACAATTTTTTTTGATGAACGCTTTAAATTAAGTTGGATGACTTGGTTTGATGCACTGCATTTTGGTAAATACGATACTTTAGATAGGATCTAAAGTTCCTTTTTTTTTTTCATTTAAAGTTGGCTTCCAAATTTAATACTTCATGGATACTGAACGTTTACTAAAAAAGTTCATGACTGTATCACTTCTGCCAACTATTCTTCTTCTACTCTAAAAAACATAATTTTTGAACAACTTTTACTGTTTACTTCACTAAAAACTTAAATATTAATTTCAAACAGCAGTAAAAAATTTTTTTTTAAAAACTCGATAAATTTGACTATTTGCTAAAAAAAGGTTTCAGGTGTGGTAAAAAAGATCAAATATTGTTTAGAGAAAGTTTATTCTCTTAGTTTTTTCTTCGTATGTCTTTTTCACTATGCTCTCAACTGAAATGCAGCATTTTAGGTTGTAACCAAACTGACATTTTATGAAGATGGTGCTATTGAAGCAGAATGCAACAAGCTGCCATGTGGTCAGATAAGCAGTAATTGTATTGAAAAACAAGTAAGCTGCAGAACTGAAAGTGATGTGCTTTCTGGTATGAAGTGGGCCACGAACGGGCAAAGGTTAGTTTTATTATTCAATGTTCTGAATGCAACCGATTAGCGGCTTAGTAGGCAATTTCATGTAATAAAATATCGTTTTAATCCGGGAACTTTAAAGTTATATAGAACTGCAACGGTTCTTGCACATTGAACTTGGAAGGTTAATGACATTTTCGTAGCGATAGCATCTTTTTTACTTTTTTCTCTGCTGTTGACACTTGAACTATCATTAACTTGTAGCGTCCTCCTTCGATGCTGTCAACTGACGGTTCCAACCAAACTATACGTTGGTACAGATCGTGTCACCTTAGGATCTTACTATACCGGTGGTATGGTTGAAGAGAAAGATTTATACGGAAAAAATGGAGATATTGAATATGATTTTATCTCAAACATGAGGACTGAACAGTATGTCACTGTTAAAAATTGGTTTTTTTGAGTATGTCACTGAACAGTATGTCACTATTAAAAATTACTTTTTTTTTGATAAATTATTGTATAGATACAGTTTAAATAATATCGATTTAAATTGAATACGGAAATGCAGTAGAGGGGTTTCAGAGGTGCTGTAAGAATCTGGGTATACCGCGTTATGTGTGCAAGAAACGCTACTTATGGTCCTATTGAAGAGCATGGAAAAATGTAGGCTTTCGTTACGGCTTAACAACTGCTGTTTTCATTAACTGCGAAACAGTTTTGAGCTTGTTGTTAAACTTCCATTAATCTATTCAAAATACTTTCAACTTGGCAATTAGGAGAAAAAAGTCTGAATAGGGAAGTTGAACAACAAAACAACACTATTTTATTACTGTCTTGAAATAGCTTTATAGTTGCTAAAAAACTAAAATCAAAAATTGTAAAAGTTTTTCTTTGTCTTTCGTTTCATAAATGACTTTAGAATTGAAGAAAATATAATATTTCACTACTGTTTGTATGAATAAAACTATTAGTTTTTTCAAAACTTTAGAACAGACGGAAGGGCGTTTGCTTTTGAAAAGCGTCGTCAGTACATACTCAAGTATGATCTAGCTTTTTCTAAATTGATGCTACTTAAGTAGAAAAGTATACTAACTAACTGTAGCTTGGAGCTTTTACTCTGCTTTTAGGTAGACGCTAACTTGTTAGTTTAGAATAACCTCTATTACTGAAAACTGTTTAAAATCTTACCAAAGAATATCTGTTTTACTGCAGACAACTGGACAGCCAGTCACCAGTTATTAGAGGTAACGAAGTGAACAATCCTGACGAGGTCAGTTAAATCTCTTTTTTTTATGATTTTTAAAGTATAAGGCTGGATTTATTAGTCTTGGAGGATAAGAAACAATTAACAGAAAAAATCAAGGCATAGAAGAAGATATAGTTTATTGGAAACAGTGTATACAGTTCTGGTGTGCTGTTCACTTGTGAAACAAAAAGCCGTTTATCCAATGTTCATTAAAAACTGAAGTGAAAACGTAAAAGAAGCAACTTTTGAAATTTGTCAGGCACTTGGCAAAATTTTGAAATCTACGCAATTCAATGTTAATAATATTAACTTTCTATACCAACCAATTAGTTTTTTAGCAAACTATTATTAACGGAAACGAAATTTTGTATGATGGAAAAGATTCTGTTCAAAAGCTTTTGTTTCCCTTTTTTAGTTGTGGGGTAATGGGCTGAAAATTTTTGTTCAAACATTTAGTAAATCTTTAAATAACATTGGAACTGAGGCAAATTTTGCTGACCTTTTTTTAATGCAGTTTTGCTGCTAACAGTTTTTAACCATCAGTAAACGATGAATCTTTCTGAAAGCTATAGAACAAGGACTCTATTAACTTTTTGTTGTTCATAATGTGTGTTTTATTTATCGTTATTTTTTTCAGAAGCCACTAAACAGATGTGGCTTCGAATGATACGTAAAAAAACTAGTGATTGCATATGGTACCAGTTTGCTCATTTTCAGTTTCCAAAACGTGTAGTGACGACACCACGAACTTTCAACCCGTTGCGGTATACTCCGCCCGGCTATAAGACAAATCGAAAATTAGCAAACCCAATGAACTCGATGGACAGGCTTCTTTAAGACAGGCGTACTGCTGTTGGCTGTTATTACACGAAACTTTTGTTAACGACTATTGTTGTTTTTCTTTTGACTCATCTTACACGAGACTTGCAAATTCATTTCAAGAGATGTCAACAACTTTTACTTTCCAGTTGCATTCTATTTGTACAGATTCTATTATTAATATTTTATTTTTAAAGTTTAATTAACTGTTAAGCAACTGATTAGAAGTAAACAAGCAAAAATCTTACACCAAAGTCACGTGGTAATTGTTTCATTCTTTCCCCGAATAAAATTTGTAAAATCATGAAGTTTTTTACGCATCTACATGGTCAAGAGAAACGCATAAAGTGATAAAAATAGTATCAGGAATGTCTTGGTGAAAAACCTACCTTCAAGCATTTTGTCGCTGATTCTACTGGGGAAGTATTCTTTTAACCAAATTGAACTTTTTTGTATTATTTTACTCTATTTTCGCCTTCAGATTCTTTTATTTCCTGGTGCATAATTGGATAAATACAGAAGAGAAGGTTAGAGGCAAGGATTTTTTTATAATTTTAGAACATGAATGCTGAACAGCATTAAAAGTGTTCGTG